TTTGTCTTTTCTCTATTTCCTAAACCTCCATATCTGATAGCAAAATTTAAAAAAAAAAGACTCCTCTGAGTGTCTTTTTTTGGACAAAGATTTCTCACATTTTCCCCTAAGTGGCCTGTTTTGTGCAGATCTGAACGGCTGGTGAATCTTTTTTCTTGTAGGACAAAATGAGAGCTCTCTGTCTTCTGATATTTGAGGGTTTAAATGAGAAATTCCAAGAAAAAGGCTAACATTTTTCCTGACACCGCCGGGTAACGTCTGACATCGTCTCAGTTTGAGAGAAAAGTCAAGTGTCTGAACACTTTGAGAACAAAAAAACAAGTTTTTAAGTGCATAAAACATCTATTTAGTCTAACTTTTTCCTTTAGAATAGAAAAAATTAATTGAATCGTCATATTTTAAGAAGATTAACTAGCTTAATCACTCTTTCTTTAGCAGCTTTTTTTCCTCAGGCCAGTGAGATGAATCATAATAAGCAATACTCTGCTTTTTTAATCTCAATTGAAACCATTTCCATGTCACAGAACAGCGGCAAGTGCCTGAAAATGATCTTTATCTCACAGAAAAGAGCTTTGAACGAGCGCAGAGGAAAATAAAAAAACTGCTGACCTTTTTCTCAGGATGTGGGTCCTTAAAGGATGCGGCTTCCACGGAGGGAACGTGCACTTTACAGCCCAGCTTCCTCTCTGATAATCAGCTAGCAGAGGCAAAAAGATGCTGGGGAACTGGGAAACAGCCTGCCAGGGACTCCGGTTGTTAGACTGACCGGAGGGACCGGGCAAAGGGGGCAAAGGGAGGCAGAGAGGGAATCGGACGTTTCCACAAATGAATGGGGGCAGTGTTTAAGAGCCAGATCTGCTCTTAGGACTATAATACCTCTATTTTATCCCGGGGAGGATCATTAAAGGTACCTGAGCCTGGCTTTGGAGATTGGGTTCCTCACATAAGGAATTTCCACAATTAAGACTCTGAGGAAAGATGGATGCTGGCTGAGATCAGCCGGAGCAAAAGGCACGAAATTCCGGCCACCAGAGTAACTTTAAATTATCCTCAGCTTCTCAGACTGAGGGCAAAACAAAGCCATGGAGATTTGTGCTTTTGTACTTAATATTTCTGAGGTTTAGTCCACAAGCATGCCACTGTAACTGTAACGCTCTGCCTATTAAAAACCGAACCGGGCAGTTTTGCACGAGGGAACAAAACAGATTTGGCCTAACGGGTTTGAGCGTTAGCTCCGTGAGCCGTGAGAAAATGCCACAGGGCGGCGGAGGAACGAGTGTGAGCGGGCAGGCCGAGGCAAGCCCGGGCTGCCTGAAGCCCAACGGCCAGCTC